CAGCAGCTCCCAGCTCGCTCCCATTTTTTCTCCCAGACATCTCTGGTAATTATAACCACTGAAAATAGGCAAAACAAACCAACAGTTTTTGGCTGTGCACTTAATTTACATGATTCCTTTGGAACATTCCTTGGATAGTTAGTTCTGCTATCCTTTTTCTTTTTACACCTTCTACTAATAAAAATCATGCTTAGCTCTCCCATATCATTTACATGAGAAGTTTGGTACAGCTTCCAGTTATGCAAGGAATGGGCTGGCAGATTTAAGTATAGAAACAAGTATGCGTTTTCTCTGGTAAGGTTAGTGACTGGCAGGCAAATACTGCTGGATTAGCACTGGTTTTCTCTGAGAATTGTGTAATTGCTGCTTAACTAACACGCAGAAGCTACAAACTCTAATGTGATCTCAGATGGGGCAAGGTGTTAGTTACCATCTGCCTCTTCAGCTAGTCTGAATCTGTATTTCATGAAATATTAACTTTCTTTTTTGCCAAAACCTCATAGGTATTGATTGGCAAGTACGACCACCATGTCTAGGCTCCTCCATCCCCTCCAGTCATTCCACAAACAAGCCACAGCATTTCAATACTTCCATTGCCAACCTGGTTATCCTGCGAGGAAAAGATGTGCACAGCGTAGACTTAGGTAAGAAGGAAAAACACAGCACCTCAGTGATTCTCATTTCACATCTCGCTGTTTTCTTTGCAACCATAGCTGGTGAAAGTGAAAAAAACCCAAGGCCACGTATTTGACTGCTAAGGTCAATATTCCCTCTAGAAGAATTTTGATGTCCAAGGCCACTGTCTAATTGCTTAGGGCTGGTGTGTTTGCAACCAACTTCTGTGTTTCCTGAAGCACTTCAGGGAAGGAGAAAGAGACTAAAGTCCATATATACGATAGGATTCTTGGCTACATTGTCTGAAAGCATATTTAGCTGCTTCTGGAGTGATAAGCGTAGCTTGCAGATGAAGTACTGATACAAGAATGTGCTTTTAGATAATCTAATGAATCTGTTTAAAACAGTTGTATTTTCAACAGGCCGACCACTCTGCAGATTTTTTTCAAGGCCTGAATTCCTCAGCCAAGCATTGAGTAGGTCACACAGGACTACTGAGATCAAGACGTAGGAGCTTGTAACTTTGTATTTCTCAAAAGGGCTCTCTTTTTTCTGCTACAGGAGGTTTTCGAGATCCTTCATTATATACATCATGGTTAAACCCTCAGGATGCTTTCAATGCGTGGAAAACACCAAGAGCCTTTAACAAGTACGAGAAGTCTGCTTCTTTGCTCAGCAATAGCCAGTTCCTAAATTGACAATGTCGTAGGAAAAGCTTGGAATATGTTTGCTTCCAGGTAAGTGAAAACGATTATGGTGATACTTGACTAATAGCTGCCAATATCTTCAGTGGTAGCAAAATCATTGTAAATACAGCTCGCTCTTTCAGCAAAGTAAAGGAATGGCGAATACGCATGAAGACTGTTCCCACACTGTAGTGGAAACATTTTTATGCTTGAAACATGATGGCAGGGTGAGGAACTCAGAATAGTGCTTATGTTCTGTGGATAAGTGAGACCACATACTCTAGGGCTGACAGTTTGACTGTTTCCTCAGTACTAAAACTCCCTAAATTTAGGGCATTCCAATGTCACCATTCTAAAAATAACACATAGAAACTCTTTTACTGGTGTAGTTTCTAAATTGTGTACAGACATGCTGCATGGTCTGGGGAAAAAAGTTCCTGGCTCAGTTCAGAAGCCTTTAAGGGATTTATTTGTGTGTTTACTAATGTTCCTGTGCTAAACATGTCTGCTAAACATGCGTTTCTAGCACAGGAATTCTCCAATTAAAAGACAAAAGAGGAAAACTGCTGCCAGTACCAGCTGTGACAAAACCACCACTGATGAGAAGCAAGCTGTCCTGCCCACGTGGGTTTAGGCTTTGTATCGCAAATCTATAAATCACTTTTCTCCTCTAATAATCGCGTCTCCTCCCATTTCCCGGTTAGCCCAATCTTGTTAGCGGCAATTTTGTTTCCTTAAGGAATATGCAGAGTTATAAAACCTATGAGAAACAAGTCACGACTTACTGATAAGTATGAATTACAAAATGAGTTCAAGAGAGGACAGTAAAAACTAACCAGCATGGTTACTGGCTGGAAACCAATCTTCATTGGAAGTTTTTACAGTAACTATACAATCTGATTTCATGGGTCAGATTCTTCACTGATTTCTAACGTCTTATCCATTTTCCTACTGTGACTTCAACACACAGAGCCTATATTCACCAGTACACTAAATTTGGAATCGAAGAGGAAGATTTCCTGGACAGCTTCACAGCTCTGGAACAAGTTATCTCCAGTTACACCACCCTTTGATTTTTTTTTTTTTTTTTAAATGGTCTGAAATAGAGCTTTCCTGCAAGAACCCAGCGCTGGAAAACCTTCCATCAGCTTCCTGAAGTATATAAATTACTGGACTGTAGCTATTTTTCAGTCTTGTAAGCAGTGTGTGCGTGTGCTAGAATAGTAAGAACTGAATCCAAACTGAATATATTCATATGGGGAGGCATTATTCATATTTAATATATCTAATAAATAGCTATTTTTCACTACCTTTGCTATGTACTATAGCGAAGCCTTTTAATATAATTTTTGGCCCTTGGATATTTTTCATAAAGAATGTCTATACAGAAGGATTTTTCTCCAGGCTAAACTCTCAGCATCTAAACTATCATGAACTAATGTGTGATAAAAATTAAACGTGTCCTTGACTACAGTAGTGAGGTATTCCCGATCCTCCCATTTCAACTTTTCATGATAACGCTTTGCCCTAAGAATGCTTCAATATTGATAAAAATGCACAGTATCAGAATTATTAACTCAAATTCCACTTGGGTATCAGTCAAGAATCAATAGTTACTTTAAAGCAAAGTAAGACTTAAATTCTATTTTAAGGACCTTAACCTTGACAAAACAGCAGAAGTTTTGAACCATGTCTTAAGCAAAGGTATGAAGACCTCCTCATGCGCCTGTCATCCTCAAGTTATATTAGCGATTATAATGAATTATATGCTTTTCTGGCCATTTCACTATGTCAAGTTTTCAAGTGGTGTTATCTACCACTTGGGAAAAAAAAAAAAATATCCCTTTTTCGCACGACTTTTACCACGACCACGAGGTGGTGCCCCTGGGCAGCTGCAGCCTGAAACAGCAGCACCAGCCTGACCACAACAGCTTGGCGGGGCACAGGCCGGGTGCTTATAAAATAAGCGTACGGTAGAATTAAGGATTATGTTGTAACACCGAGCTTTCACTGCTTCACTGTTGGCTTTTTCACTTAATGGGAGGGAGAGCTTTTGGAATTCTTGCCATTCCTCCCCCCCATGTCACGCTGTTCTCCCATAGAAATAATCCTGTTCACTATTAAATAGGTATGCCAAAAATAAGAGTTCAAAAACCAGTCTCAAGGACTTTTCCCATGACAACTGGACAAATGTCATAGTTTCCCTTCAGGTTTTAGTGCTGTTTCATGCCGGGCCTCTGAGCTTTTAACTGAAAAGATGAGCACGCCCACAGTATGATGCTTAAAGACATTTGCAATATGGCTAATGATACCCCCATAGAAATCTTGCCCTGATAGGGATTCTGACTGAGATTTTAAATCTTTAATGAATTAACAGGGGTAGACACAGGAGTGACCTGGTAATCCTGCTAGGCTGCAGTTAGCGCACGGCAGACGCTGTATTATCTTTATTTCCTTTCCTGGTCTCATTTACCTCTTCGCTTTTGTTCAGGCCAGGTACAGAAGCACTAAAATCCCCCCCCCCGGAGCACTTGTTCTCAAAGCAGCTCTGGCACATGACACCTGGGATAGCAAACAGACTTCTTGTCAAGTAACAGTGGGATTGAATCTGAAGGAAGTAAGTACGTCCTGAGGCAGAGTTCTCCGTTGCTCAAATACGCCCACAGTAACACTGATCACCGGCATGGCTGTGCCAATGCAAGCCTCAATGGAGTCACAGAAATTTCATGGTAGCTTATAGAAGAGCAATGTTAATCCCTCCTGCCTTCCAAAAAAAAAAAATTTCAACTGCCTGTTAGTAGTAGGGCAACCTTCAGCACATGTTAGAGCTGAGTCTAGTCCTAGTCCATGCAGAAAAATTACCTGTGTAAATTAAGAGCTATATTGGTGCTTCAATTCAATAGCCAAATCAGTAAATATACAGGGGACTGAGAATCACCCGTGGGGTGAGTGGGGAGAAAACAAGAGGGAAGGCAAAGAGAAGAAAGCAGATAGGGTACGTCTATCCAATAACTTACAAAAATGACACTTGGACAAAACATTTTGATAATACTCTTCTTGCAGACCACAGTACACAACCAAACAACTCAGTCCAGTTTGCTTTCTGTTTTCGCTCAGCTCCACTAATTCCTGTTTTAGGAACTCCCTCTCAGAAGGGGAAGACACAATAATCACAGTTCAACTGTCCAGCCATCCTTCAAGCCCTGTGCTGCTCAGTAAAATCTGAGTTGTTTGGAAGTTCAAAACTACATATAACTTTTGTTACAGAATACTATTTGTGATTTTTTTTTTTTCCCCCCCACTAAATCATTTCCTGGCAGCTCAGAGCTGGGGTCTGTTTTCTGGTGGTGTGTTTTTGTCAGTGTCAACCATTGTCTTTAACTTGGGTATTTTCACAGAAAAAAACCTGGAGGAAAGATTGCACAAGAAGTTAAGATAAACAGCACAGGCAATTCAAGTTTGCAAGGAACAAAGGGTCAGGAAAGGAGACGGTATGGTGAGGTTCTCCCTCCTCCTTCCTTCAAACGGCACAGGATGTTTAGCAACACAGAAATAATTTTCCCTAGTGTTTTCAACAGACATCAGATTGAGAACTTCTTCCAGGATCAGAACTGAGAACAGGTAACTCTATGTCTGAAGAAACACCAGGTTAGGAATGCATACTCTCCCTCATTGTTCCACAGGCCAGGTAAAAGAGATTTTTAAAAAGCTAAGGACAGTAAGTCCTCTCAGAAACAAGGAAGAGAGCAATGGGTTAGTGTACTGCTGTATCAATAAGTAACTTTATTGCAGAAATAACCTCATGTTATCTCTATGTCTTTATAATTCTGAGCACGAAGCAAATACAGCAGGCACTTGCTGCACCTCTGAATAACATAGACCCATTTATCCATTCTTTACAGGTACATTTATTATTTATGGCTTCTGTCACTGTTAGTTAATTGAGCAGGATATGTGGGGGGGCTTGTTTCTTTAAGTTTGATGGCAGAATTTGGGCCATTTCAGGAAACACACCAAAGATGTATAAACCCAAAGCAGAAATAAAAATTTCCTTGTTTAATCTGTAGTTATAACATAGGAAGACAGAGGGGAAAGATTCTGCAGCTCAAAGACACAGCTAGGCCAGCAAGTTCATTACTGCTTTACAAGGATACTTGTGTAAGAACTTGATCACAGTCAGGATTCAGGGAAAATACTCCTACTTCCATGGGAAAACAAAGTTTTTCAAAGCAGCAATAGAGGATCACACCCATCAGGCACATTTTGTCAACACAGATTCCTCAGAACTACACCAAAAAAAAAAAAAAGAGGAGGTGGAAACAAAAGTGTAGCTGTTGTATGAGCTGTTATAATCCCTTTCATGGCTCTGGAGGAGAGATTGACAGGAATTGTTTTAGGCATCTCTAGGCTTCTTCCTATTAGTGTTTTTCACGGCTGACCTCAGTTCTGAAATTCTCACACCCTTTCCCAAACTAAGCCTTCCTTTTTTGATCTATGGCTGGATTCCTCTATTTTTTTTCCCCAGGATGTGGAGAAGGTCAAAGTGACAGGAAGTGAATAGCTATTATCAAATATTCATCATTCATAGTCATCTTCTATTGATAAAATTAATTATGTAAATAGTCAGGGCCTGGAAGAGGGCCTTTATTTCAATAGAAATTAAAATTAATGAGGTAGATCAAAGGTCAGCACAAGCCAATGGCTCACCGAGGCAGGAACAACAGAATCAGTGGCCTTGACCTAGCTAGTTTTAGGCAAGCTACCCACAGGATGTCCATAAACCAAGGAACAATGCATCAAATCTCACTATTGTTTTTTGCAATGGACAGGTGCAGATCACTTGGACGTCGATTCAAGGACTCTAACTATAGCAGACATATTTAATGAACAGGACAACTTTTATAGGGCCACAAAAAAAGCAAGGACAAAAATTAGTCTGTTACAAATACTTCATAAATGTAGTAACTGTTTGGCAAGTGACAGGGCACTAATGAAGTTACAGATGCAATTTATTTGGACCTAAGTATATATTGGTGCTTAGAAGGTTAGACTGACTATCAGTACAGACAGGACAGAGTGTTACAGGGTTTTCAAGAGGGTGACCCACACAGATTTACCAAACTGAAACAGCTCAAGATTAAGGGCAAAAATCTGTGGTTTCCACAAAACCCAGGATTTTATCAATAAGAAAGAAGGATGTTATATTCAAATTACCAGCTGATACGCTACTGGGAAACATTGAGGTTCAAAAGGATGTTGAATGAATACTTCATTTTTTTTCTGCATTTGTTAATAAATTTAGTATAGATAAATATTATGAAATGAGGGACCAAACATCCAAAACGAGATATCCTCAGATGTCGAAGTGTACTTTAATGCATTTTGCTGGACACCACTTTAAAAACTGCACAAGAGTCATCAGGAATGTGATTCATGGAGCTGATATGGTACAAAAAAACTTCCAAAAGAGATGGAACTGCTGCCTTTCCTCCACTGCTTTCAAGGGCAGCCCAGACACAGCCTTACCACAGCAGCAAACTCCAGCCTAGGCTTCCTCTTCAAGCCTCCTGCCTCTGGCTTCCTACCCCACCTCTGCCCACGCTCCAGAAGCACAGCCCGGACACTCAGACAGCTTTTACCTCGCTGGATGTAGAGTTGATAATCCTGAATTTTAACTACAGAGCCTTTCCGGCTCTTTCAGTCCAACCGAAGTTCACAGTGGTCCCTTCTGATTTCACATTGTATGAATCCTCTCCCTCTAGACAGCCACTTCCCCTCCATCGGGGTGGGGGAATGAGTCACCTACCTCCGTGAATCAGCAGAACCTGCTTAACCCTTTCCCAGAAGCCGAACAGCTGCAAAGAGGGTAGTGTTTCCAACAAATGTTGCTGCCAGCCCTACGGAGCACACTGGAAAAGGTGAAGACAGCCTGAGGTAAGAGATGAGAGAAGCTGCTTCTGCTCATTAGGCAATTTAAAGGCAATTTTTAGAGATATTGATATGTTTCATGATAAAGATCATGGAAGAAGTCTAAACCTTAACCCTATGGTTCATACGAGCTTGAGAGATTCTA